CCCCGGCTGCTGCTGCCCCTGCCGACAGCCGGGCTGAGGGATGGGACAAGCCCGTCCTCTGGCCCCCTGGGCTCCCCCTGCCCCGCCAAGCCCCCTCTGCCTCCCTGCTCTGCAGCCAGAACTGGCGCCCGGCTGGGGAGGGACCCTCCAGCCCCAGCCCCGTCCCCGGGGGCAGGATGCGTCCCAGCCCCGTCCCCAGGCACTGCCCCACACTCACCCTCGATGTTCCTGCATTTCTGCCGGACCTCGTAAACGAGCCGCTCTGGGGAGGGAGAGAGGTGTCAGGGCGGGGAGAAGGGAGGGGACCCCCGGGAGGGAAGGGCCCGAAGGAGAGGGGGACCTGGCCTAGAGCAGCTCTTGCCCCGCAGCCCCCCACGGTGAGCACGGCCCGCCCGGCACCAGGGTCACGGCCAAGCAAAGCCCCGTGGAGGGGGCGGGCGCAGGGGCACCCCGACCCCGGGCAGTACCTCGGGTGCGCTCGTCGATGATCTCCTTGACCTTGGGCTTCTCCGTTGTGCTTTTCCTGGGTTTTTTGGCGGGCGGGGGCGGTGCGTAGGCGGCTGCTTCTGGCTCTACCCACATCTCCGTGTAAACTTCTTTGTAGGGGTTTCGCTCCTCTGCAAGGGGTGCGTGGGGTCCCGTCAGCGGGGTCCCGTCAGCCCCGTGCCCCACACGGGGACCCCAGCGCGTCCTCTGCCCAAGCCCGCGCCGCTCTGGTGATGCCGGAGCCGATGGCCGGGGGTCCCGGGGGACACTTGCCCAGGCCACCGAGCGGGTCCCCGTCATGAGAGCAGGGCCCTGCGCCTCCCCCTGCTCACCTTCGGGGGGCTCCAGGCCCTTGGGGCCGGAGGGCTGGAAGCCGCCCAGGGCCCACTCGATCATCTGCTTGTTCTGGATCTCCACCACCTTGGAGGTGTCTGTCTCGTCGTTCTCGGGGCACGCCGGGAAGATCTTCCCCGCTCTGCTGCTCGCCACCTGCCGGGGAGCCGCAGGCCCAGCCGTCACCCACCCGCCCTGCGAGGGGGGCCCCATACTCCGCACCCCC